TGAAATCCTCCACCCCCCTACGAGTACCAGTGAGATCTGCCACCCCCCTACAAGCTACCTGCCTACCATGTGAGAAATTCCTGCCACCCCTCTACGAACTACACATGAGAAATCCTGCACCCTACGGAAACACCAGTGAGAAAATTCCTGACCCCGACCCCCTACGAGCTACCAGTAGAGACCTGCCACACCCCCTTACGACGCTACCAGTGAGAAATCCTGCCACCCCCCTACGAGCTACAGTGAGAAATCCTGATACGACCCCCTACAGCTACCGTGGAAATCTCTTGCCACCCCCCCCTCGAGCTACAGTGAGAATCCTGCCACCCCCTACGAGCTAACCAGTGAGAAATTCTGCCACCCCCTACAGACTACCAGTGAGAAATCCTGACACCCCCCTACGAAGCTACCAGTGAGAATTCCTGCCACCCCCCTTCGAGCTACCAGTGGAAGAAATCTGACACCCCCCTTACGAGCTTACCAGTGAGAATCCTGACACCCCCCTACTCGATGCTACCAGTGAGGAAATCCTGCCCACCCCCCTACGAGGCTTACCAGTGGAGAAATCTGCCCACCCCCTTACGAGCCTACCAGTGAGAAATCCTGCCACGCCCCGCCTACAAGTACCAAGCGTGAGAAATCCTGCCACCCCCCTACGAGCTACCAGTGAGAAATCCTGCCACCCCCTACAAACTACCAGTGAGAAATCCTGCCACCCCCCTACGAGCTACCAGTGAGAAATCCTGCCACCCCCTACAAACTACCAGTGAGAAATCCTGCCACCCCCCTACGAGCTACCAGTGAGAAATCCTGCCACCCCCCTACACGGGAACTACTGAAAAATACTGCCACCTCCTATGAAATTCCATCCTCACATTCAAGCGGTTTTGACAAGCTGAATTGCCTGAATAATGATGAAGTTTCAGCCTTCCTGTAAGCTCCCTCATGCCGGGGGTTTACACTGAGGTGTAAGCCACCTGGGAAGGGGAAAACAGAGGAGAGGGGGGACTAACAATAGTTTTACCCTCCCTGTAAGCTTCCCCCACCTAGAATTTTGCAATGTTCAAGAGTAGACTAACTGAATGCCACGCTTTGCTTAAATTCACTATTCAGTGTGTTAAATGTATATAAATAAATTTAATGGCACTTAACCAATACCCTTCTTTAAATCGCGTTCGCTTCGCAATTTTACCGTTTTAACCTCGAGTATTCACACGCACAAACACAAATACCCACAAGATGCATGCACGCAAACACACATATATGCACACGATACATGCACACACGCAGGCATGCATGTACGCACACCCACACACAAGTATGTAGATGTATGTTTATATATGTAACTAGCATAATTTCCCAATTATTGCTGATGGACATACCATTTGTAGAAGATGGGGAGCAGCAGTACTCTGAGCAGCCCGCGTTTGGCAATGACTGGCCAGCCATGCTTGGGCTTTGTCTTTGGAAAACTCGAGCCTGTGGTGTACGCAGCAATGCAAAAGTTACACTCAGCTCCTACTACGCAGCACTTGAGAGCAAACCTAAACATTGATGATAGCAGACTACTACTTATTTGCAATTTTGCAAACATTTTGTGTATGAACAGACAGTCCCAAACGTGTCCTGTACGATGGCAGGTACTTGGCAATACAAATCTAATTGCCAAAATTAAAACTGCTAAAAAATTAAATGTTGTATCAATCTATACATTGAACGGTGAAAATCAAACACACACATGCCAGCTGTGGTCATATATGCTTATACACTAGTTTATGATGCACTAGAACAAATCTATCATGCTTGACATATGCTACTATACCTCTGACAAGATCTACATCAATGAGTTCTGTCTTTATCCTTCCAGACTTCTTTGTAATGTATCTCAGCCCCTAAAACAAAAATCATACATTGATTTTGGATACAAGAACGTCTCATGAAATGGGATGACCACCATCTCAGTTAAATGTGCAAGTCAAAGTTAAGTAAAAGAGTAAGACTAAAGGTGCAATTAATAAAGGTGACAGCTATGTAGCCTAATTCAAACATTACCTGTATGTGTTGTTCTTATTGCATTGTGTGCAAATGAGATTATGCCTTATGTAGTTACTCAGAAATACAATGCGATTAATGATAAATACCCACAATCAATTAGTTTCCAGTGGCAAAAAATATATACTAATGGCACATATGCAAGAATATTTTACAATCTAACATAAGCACATGCACACATTAGTTATCAATTTATTTTTGTAAACAGGACAAGGTAATTGTTAACAAGTTGATTCGGTTTGTTATACAGGAATAAACTACAATTATAAATAATGTGAGTAACTGATATATGAGAAAATTATTTTTTGATTATTTTTTAATTTAAACAAGGACTAATTTTTGAATAAGATTGATATCACCAGCCGTAAAATTTAAAACAGGTTTGCAGTGTTTCACAAACCAGTAAACCTGTACATACCATGGAAACGTTTTCCTCCACATTTGCCTCCCATTGCTGTTTGTCATACAAAGCAATCTGGAAAGTATGAAAACTAGACAATAAGTTTGAATATATCATAACTCTACAATAGCCAGTCACTGTGTAAATAATAGGTAATTGACCGCTTAGGTTTAGGTAATATGACAAAAATGTACAGCAGAATAATATTCTAAACATGTCAATGTAGTCTGGTGGCAACAACATTGTTCCTTGTGAAATTTCGCCTGCATTTCCATTATTCCGCTAATTACCTCCAGCTAGATCTACAGGTACAATTGTGTCAAGAGTAAAGATAATCAATAATCCCATTTAGTGCCACAGCATGCCCCACACGACCATCATTAATGCATCTGCCCCAATATGGCAACCAAGCTGGCAGGGGCACGTGCAAGATGCAAGGTTCAGTGGAAAAAAAATCAATCGATGTTTCTGGATTGATGTGTGCAGAGCATGGCAAATGTAAGGCTCTGCATCTCCCAGTCTGTAATCACATCCGGCAGCAAGGCATGCCTGACTACGGTCTGTAATTACTAGCAAGGAACCTTCAGTGCCCTTTGACATTTACACCGTAAAACTGAACAAGCGCAGCACGTGTACACTCGTATTGTTATTAAGCCACGTTGAAGCCCTTCCACGGCAGGCGTTTTATATGGATGAGAATTTACTCAGAACGAACCTACTGGGATGTGCTCGACTTAGATTAGCTAGCTAGTTATTACTGCTAATACAGGGCTATGAGGGTTTCAGCTAATAATGAAAATATTTAGCCAAATTCATGCTTTCCCATTTGCCAAACAAAATGTGACATTTATTTAAATTAATTGTATTTCAATCAACATTTGAAAGCCGTGTTAACAACAATAGCACAATGGTTAGAAAATCGTATTTACATCATTATCTCCGCCCACGAAGTGGAGGAGGTTATGTGATCGCTCTCGTGTAGTGTGTTAGTGTGTTCGCCTGTTGCGCGATCGATATTAGCGCGTCGAGTCAGCAGCAGGCCAGTCAGTCAGCAGCAGCCAGCAGCGAGCGTGTACATGTGAGCAAGCAGCAGCAACGAGCGGCTGCTACGAGCTATGTCGCTGGCGGAGGTATGCACTCTCCGCGAGTGCCCTCTGTCTAGTTAATAGTGTGCTTATTCAAGTTTCATATTATGAAGCCCAAGGAGAGAAGGTTATTGAGCACACTATTTATTTTACATACATATCGCACATGTATTTTGTATTAATACTAATATAGTGTTACTGATGACTGTTTTTGATACAAAACACATCTACTTATTAACATATCTTAAAGCTCTGTGCTCCTTTGTTTGACATTTAAGACCGTCTTCAAAATTAAAATCACGTCTGTCCCCACCATTAACAGAAATCGTCATAATAAGAGTGCTGAGATGGCGGACTGTCATGCTGTTGCGCAAGGCTGTCTTTGTCAAATTCATGACACTAAAACCTCGTTTACAATCAACAGATGACATAGGTAACGACAGCAGAAATTACGTACCCGATGCTTCGGGTTAGCAAGTAGCGATCTCGTGTAGAATTCGAGTGACATATGAATTTGCTTTTAGCGGTCGCTAGTGGGTAGAATTTGAGTTCAGCCTGAATGGCCTAATTAGCTTTAGCTTTATGGTGAATATATGACAATATTTTTTTGCAAAATTAAACTTTAATTAGGATTTGGCGAATTAGCGAACAACAGCTTAAACCCTGGGCTATAATTTCCCGAGTTTATGAACTAATAACATCTTACTTCATTACATAATACACATAATCACATTTTCATAAGATCAATATTTCATGAAACAATAAATGTGCAACAAATACCTGACGAATTCCTACATATTTGAACAAGACATGTCTGTACTAGTGCAGTACATACGATTGTCAGAATCCTACAATGTTATACAGATGCTGTGTAAGGTCATTTCGTCTGAATGTGTGTGTGCATATGCACTGTTTGGTTCTTCCTGTAATTTACCTTTTCCTGGTACCACGACAGCATGCACCCAAACATTGTTCAGTAATGTTTGTCCAGTCGTCTGATGCAAGTAAAGCGCTGACATACGTGTAGAGTAAACGTCCGATTACTTTGCTATCATCCGACTTCCATATTAATCTTGAGCCTGCAAATAGAAAAATATCATTATACTGATGAACTTTGAACCAAACACACACAAATAATCATGCATCAAATATTTTTAATATGAGTAAAAGTACATCTGAATTTTGTCTAGAGCTGCGTCACCGCACACGTTATCACCAACTGTCCTCGACTGTCTGGTTAGTCTGTCGGAATATAAGTCTGTTGGAATATAAGTCTATACCATTTATCCCACCTGACAAACAGGTTTGGATATCCTCCAGACATGCGACGGAGACAATTTAACGTGACGACAAAATTCAGATAACAGCGATTGGCTTGCAGGTGGTGCCAACTGTATTCGAACAACATGTACCTGCACATACAGCTAATGGACAGAGCATATCGATCTCCACTTACATACTCCCTGCAGCTATACACATGTGTGAGAAAAATTCATGTATCCTGGCTAAGCTTTTATGCTATTTTTAACAGAACACATCATGGAATTTCCAAAAGTGGTTTCGCATATATATGTTTGCTCTTAAAATCTAATGCAGTCATGTGCATTTTTTTAAATAAAGTACAAATAATTTTGCATATATTTTATATTTATACACCCACGTTTAGTTTCTGGCACCCTTTATATATGGCTAGCATTACTCTAGGTCAAACGTCATGTCTTTAAACAGTTTGTTTACGTGAAAAACATTTATAGTAAAGCCTGTGTTATGACTTATGAGTCATCTCTACAGAAAGAACCCCTGTGTATAAAGAACACTTGACATTTCCCTGAGTAACAGTAATACAGTAAAACCACCTCCACGAGCCAGCTACCTGTCTAGATAATAGATACTTTTAGCATTCCTACCGAGTGACCCTTATAATAGTTATATACACTTTTTAATGCGTGTTACTAATGCCAATCAACTATGGTAGTTTGTTAGTACATACATTATAATAGACATAATAATTATTAAATTTTAATTTTGTCTGTAGTTAGTTAAATCATTCACTATCCTAACAGCAGCAAATCTGTAAATCAAAAATCATGAAACTTCAGCAAACATGAACATCTAGATAGATTTTTAAAACAAATATTATCAGGAGTCTATCAATAGAATCAAGTTTTATTTTGTGGTTTATTTTCATGAGCTTGCCAAAATTAATTGTATACCAGCGCTCATCATAATTTACCAGCCCTCACAAATTTAGTTTGTAAAGTCAATGTCATGCTTCACACTTGCATTCTCGATTTCAAATTTATAAATTGTTGATAAAGTATGGCGTGATATCCTTCAGGTAAAACAGTAATTTAGGCTATTTGCTCATTAATGCTATAAATAATGAAAGTGTCAATGACACTGTAGCTCACCACGAAATGACACAAATGAGTGAGTGAGAAGAAGTCAGTTTTAATTGAGCAACCATCGACGTACATTATAGAAACGAAGAGTATATATGGGAGAACTCTCATTATATACTCTTGATAATTATGTGTAATTTTTTATGTGAAAATAAATGTTTGAGATGTGAAAGTCTGAGATGTGGGCGAGTGATGGCGTTACACCTAAATGATCGCCATTTAACGTTTTTATAATATTCAGATTTAGGCACTGCCTAAAAGCGGAGCTCCCGATAAAATGAGGATACGCTTATTCCATGTAGCTGCTATATACCACGTGACAATGGTGTTTCCCTGCCCATAGCACAACTTTTGTGAAAGGTTAATTGGTTGCATGGAAGTGTTTACTTCGTATGAGTTTTTCTAGGCGGTAGCACATGGTTGCCATCTGTATATCGCAATAATAATTTATAAACCAAAATGAATCACAATGTGTGACGGTAGATGGCGCTATACCCGCTTTGATGTTTCTCAGCGATGGCGTTCGAAATAAATAGGTTATGCTGCGTTCCGACATGTTTTGTAAAACTTTACTCTAATATAGACGTTTTATCGGCAGGGTGGAGAGGAAATACCAGTTTTGCATTAAAGATATTGTCAATGAAATCTTGTAAAACGAACCAGACGAGTGTGACACCACAGACTGTTATCTGCGTGTCTATATCATATGCTATATAATTGCCAAAACCTACCTAATTTGCATAATTTTTTTTAAATATCAAAACCCCTAGCCCTTATTCATTCACATACCAAAAATGAGCAAAATCCGCTGAACCTGAACTGACTAATGGCAATTCCTATTTTTGCCAAAAAATTGCCGTGGCTCGAAAGTACGTCGACTGGCGTGCTCCAAAATAGGATGTTCAAACCTCTCCCATAGCAGTAACAACTATACCCAATTTCAAACATGTGGGTCAAACGGTTCCTGAGTTATCGTTGACCGTAGCCAAATGTTGACGGAAAGACGGACGGACGGACGTACGACGACCCATGGCAATAGCTCAGCTTGACGATGTCAAGGTGAGCTAAAAATGTAGGTACTCGCTAACACAGCTGAAACCGGCCCTCCAAATAATTTGCCGGCATATGCCGGCAACCCAATGCTAATTTCGTGCCCTGGATTCACACAAAATAGCTTCTATGATCAAACGGGGCTACAAATGTGTAGAAAGAAATGGGATTTGAACTTAAAAGTTTTCTAGATACCTAAACCTTAACGCTGTGGCTATATGCCCGGCAGCCGGCACCCTAATCGTAACCCTCCCGTTTACTTGAGAAATCACCGAAAATTAAAAACTGCCGGTCATTTAGGAAATCGAAGACCGTGCCCGGCAGCCGTCGGATATTTTCTAAGTGGCGATTGCGAGGTCGTTCGCTCAGTGATCCGAAGCTAGGAGAATTGGGCTAGTTCAAATATACAGCTCTAACGAAAATCGCTTGACATTTCTAAACAAATGTAGAATACTTTGGATCACGTAGTACACTGTTTTCTTGAGAAATCACCAAAAATTAAAAACTGCCGGGCATTTAGGAAATCTAAGACCGTGCCCGGCTGCCGGGCATATAGCCACTTCGAAACCTTAAATATGGGTATGAACGTAATGTTAATGACGTCATGAATAATATACTAGCCAATCAAATGCAGTGTAAGGTAAAATAGCAGAAATGGATACTCTGCCATATACGGTTAAGTTATCCCTCTCTCTCACGTACACACACACACACTCGGCAATCAGCAGAGCGTCCCGTTGCGCAATCATGCGTGTACGTGTCGCAAGATCACTGTGTGAGATGGATGTCCGGACGCTTAGCCTAGCAGCTACTCGTCCGAAACCGGTCGCGTAGCCACGGCCTTAATATTACGCTGTGGCTATATGCCCGGCAGCCGGGCACGGTCTTCGTTTTCCTAAATGCCCGGCAGTTCTTAACCCTAACTCTAACCCTAACTCTAAACCTAACAAAAACCCTAACTCTAGCCCTAAACCTAACCCTAACCCTAACCCTAATCCTAACTCTAACCCTAACCCTTGTTTACTTGAGATAACGCTAAAAATTAAAAACTGCCGGGCATTTAGGAAATCGAAGACCGTGCCCGGCAGCCGTCAGATATACGCCGGCTGCCGGGCATATAGCCACTGTGTTAATATTATGTGATCCAGACTGCCAGAGGCTATTCTGGACACAGTGCAAGAGCCGGAAGAGGTAGATTTAGAGCCATGTCCATGTCGGCTCATATGAACATCGAGATCCGATTAAGCGACTCTCGTGCTCTCATACATACCTACTTAAGCCTACTAATTTAGTAAGTTACGATCAATCCCACTAAATTATTATTAATAAAGATTAAAGTCATTGAATAACCATCTACCGTGGTACCGGTACCGGTACTTGACGAAAATAATGCTGCCAATGACAATGTTGATTAATGGATCATAAGTGCTGACCACAATTCGTTTTCGCAAATGCATGACATGTGAAAAAATGTGCAAATGTGGACAGCTCTTATAATATCTTTCACACTGTTTTGGTGAGGCAAAAAAAAAGGTAAAATAAGTAGGCCTATTTGTCACTCATTGACATCACTCCTCAGTCTGGTGGTATTGGTTCAATGATATTAACAACTAACGACAACACCCCCGTAACTAATCACACACACCGTCACGCGTGCGAAATAGACAAGTTAGAATATAGTTAGGTAGCAACGAATCTTACCTGTGCTCTAAACTAATTCGATTTCAGTACTCGAAAAGTACGGCGAATGGAGATCAATCAGCGGTAGATTGATAGCAGCGCCGCCTGGCGCCTGCGCGTAAACAAGCCACGTGATCACGTGCGGCGATGCGATACGTTAGAGGTCTCATTGATTGACAGCATAGAGCAACGCCTACTGGTATAAAGCATAGCATTGGCACCGAAATTGTATTTTTGGTTGCCGGTTTGTTCGGGTTTAAGGTTCTCAGTTGTCTGTCGTCAGTGAATACGATTAAAAAGTTTTCAATCCAATAATCTTGGAAGAGTTTCAACACCATGTGGAGAAGTGCTGGAGCTGGTGTAGCAGGAGTTTCTATAATATCTGCTGGGTTGTGTGCCTTCAACAGCCTGCGGCATTCTAATAGTGACACTTCCGTGACCTCTGCATCATCATCATGGTCACTTCGTGGAGATTGCGGAAACAGATTTGGTAGCTGGGCCACAGTAAAAGCTGCACCATGTAAATGACACATTTTATCTTCATAGTATTAGTCATTTATATGGTATAAATGTGTGTCCATGGCACAGGACGAGATTACTTGCCGAGATTATTTGTACTGCACAGTGACAGTGCACGTGCAGTCGGTTGTGACCCGTTGTAACTTGTAGTTTTTCGACTTTTTTTGTTGAGTCATTTTTAGCCTAAGACTAGGTCACAGTAGGTGTAGCAAATAGCATCACACATTCACTATGTAGTCCTACAGCATGGTATTGTTTTTATTGTAAATCAAAATATGAGTACCGTGATATCGAGAACACACGTTGGCGTTCCACCATAGGCACACATAGCATCACATAGCACGCTGCACAGTATTATTGAGTACCACTATTGGTTAAATGGGTTTTGTAACCCCCGATAATTAAAAAAAGAAAATTCATGAAATCTACGAGCTGCTTTTTGGGTTCAATGGATATAAGCACTGTCCACAATTCATTTTCGCAATGTGCCACATGTGCAAGTGTGGACAGCTCTTATATCCTTGGGCCGCTTTTTGTCCTAATACTAATAGTCGGTGATATTGTGTCATTATTGACAAAAAATACACTGGCAGGTTTGTTTTTTCCATAAACTTGTGTACTTTAAATGATAATTACATCTCTTCATAGCCATTGCAATTTGCAATCAAAGCGGTCAAAACCGTCTCTGACATGCTATGTGTTGGTTAAAAGTAGAAATTATAAGAATTGCAGATAGACTTGGAGTGATAACCAAAGAAAGAGTTTGTAATCAATGTAATATTTTTAACATACATACTACTTCTGCTTATTTTGCTTTTTGGCCGTCTCTGTACGTGAGGCCAAAACAAAATATAGGTGTGGTTATCGTTTCCCGACCGACTCTATTTATTCCCAGCGACCCTAAAAATTTTATTGTCAATTTTCTTTAAAGTAAAAAAAAAATGTAAAACATTGAAAAAAAATATTTAAAAAAATGAATTGGACAGTTCCTGCTTCAAAAGGCACAACGCACATCCTTCGGACATGGTTCGTAAATAAAATGTTTCAATAAAATAAAATGTTTTCCCTACCTACCTACCCTATTTTTTTCCGGCATGAAACGGTAACCACGCCTATATTTAGTTTTGGCCTAACAATTGTGTACACGATCATAGAAAGTAAAAAAGTGATAATTCACACCATCTTATATGTTTGGATCCTTCCCATTGATGCAGGCGTAAAACGATAGTTATTATATAAAATAAGTGCCTTGTTTCATTGACTTCCCAGCTGCTTCTACACAAGCGGCGACTTCCACGGAGGGATTACGATTACACAATGTCCAGCTCTTTGCGCGGCACGGAGCAAGAACACCACTTGCAATATCTCCACCATTCACAGAGGTATAACGCAGCAACAATAGTCAGCTGCGTGTTGTAGGATATGTGCCATCATTCAGCGTTCTGCCCAGGATTTTTTAGTGCCGGGCGCATCCAGTAGGCCGTAGGCGCGAAGCCAATCTAGAGGGGTCCGGGGGCATGCCCCCCCTGAAAATTTTTGATTTTTGATAGTCTGAAACTCAATTTCCTGCATTCTGAGCAATAAAAAGCCCATATATCAGACTTTTTTTTTTATATATATCAAAAATTAGTGCCAGGCGGAGATATATAGTGCCGGGCGGCAACGCGAGTGCCGGGCACACCGCACCGCCGCCACCGTGGCGCAGAACCCTGATCATTGTGTGGGAACAACCTAGGGTCGACTGTAGCTCTAGTACTATAGCCCGCGGATCGCCTGCGCAGGGCTATAGGCACATTCTGCCATAGATGTAATCTAAGCAAATGCGTCCAACTGATGTGACCAAAATTTATCCCCAAAACGTAAAATGATCGGGCTTTTTAACACTTATCTATCAACATGGACATCTCACCTATCTTTTTGAACACTTCCACAACTTTACACCAGGTATTTATGCTGAAACTATTCCTCAAAGTCTTAGCACTGAAGAGTCACGCGTGCACACATAAGGCAGAGCAACGCATTTGAAAACAAAACACCAGTAGTGCTAAGACTTGAGGAATAACAGCATAAATACCTGTGTGTAAAGTTGTCGGAAGTGTTCAAAAAGATAGGTGAGATGTCCATGTTGATAGATAAAGCTGTTAAAAAGCGCCGATCATTTTACGTTTTGGGGATGAAATTTTTTTGGTCACATCAGTTGGACCATTTGCCTTAGATTACCATCTATGGCAGAATGTGCTATAGCCCTGCGGCAGCGATCCGCGGGCTATAGTCTAGAGCTAGGGTCGATGATGCAACTAAAATTGATGAATTGCATCATGAATTTGTAAAGTTACAATTGGAGTCGTCTCCACAGGGGAAGAATGGAGTAGGGAAGCTGAGATGAAAGGCTTAAAATTGAAACTTCAACAGATTCTTAATAGAACCGGTTGCAATCTTCAATTAGCAACGTATTTCTGCTATTTGCGCAGTAAATTTGTCTTGTGTTTAATTGTGGCATTTTAGTATGTGTGAATAAGGAAGAACTAGATGATCTTCCGAAAACAATGATTCCCGTGCCTACTTGTCAGCAACAGAAGGCTGGCCCAAGACCAAAATCAGACACGAAGATGTCTTCAAGACGGAACAATTCAAGGTATTTGCAATTAAGTAAGCTACAGTGATTTATGTCTGAAACTATACTACTAAATTATGACATTCCTTTTGGCCTACATTAAAATAGTTTACTGTTGCTCAAAGCAGTGGATCCTAATCCTTGGGCTATAACCTGGCTAGATAACCTCAATTACACTGCCAAATTATTTCTACAAAATGGAAACAACTGAAAGTCCAATCGGATTATGCATTGTTATTGCAACGTGTTTATCGCTGTATTATGGACTATATCATGATACGTATCAATAATTATCATATATTGTAGCCTAACTATCGTGATAGATATAGTGTCGCGGATTAGACATGTCATTGCATTCCTAGAAATATAGTTGCCTATTTCGTAATTGAAGACCACTATTTAGGGCTATTAATATGCCAGAATGGTCGTCATTGGATCATGCTCCTTGCCACCAACCCGGCAGCTCACATTTTTTTCACAAATGAACTGGTTTATTGCCAAACCAAGGCATCAGTGCCCAGCCTAACCCCATGACCGGAATTTGTGGCTCAAATGCCAAAAAAAACATCTTGGCTTAGACAGAAATAGATGCAATAAGGCAGCTACTACTGCTTCATGCACAGTTTGATGTAATGTTGGTGATGTAGTTGAAGTGATGCAGGGCGGATCCAGGATTTTGAAAAGGGTGTGTCAAGAGAAATAAAGGGTACTTTTTTCCTGCCTTACTTTTGCTCGGCAAAAAGATGCCGAAGGCCACTTTAGGGGGGGGGGGACCTCCCCCAATATTTTTTTTTAAAAAATTGGTGCATTCTGAGAGCATCTGAGCAGTAATTTTGATGTCTAGAATGCAAAATTTATCAGATCCGGTCCCCCGGATGCCTGCGCGATCCCTCTTGCCAATTTTCTAGGTTTTTATAACGAACTTACATATATATATATATAAGTAAATCTTTATCAGAAAACTAGCCCTAAAGGGCCGGACACGCCAGGCGATGCCATCGGCCGTGAAATCGCCTGGTGTGTCCACTCAATCGCTCGCCGATGGCATCGCACAGATCAAAACGTTTTATATTATCGCCCGATGCCATCGGCGATGGCATCGCCTGGTGTCGTCCACGACTGCCCGATTGCATCGGGCGATTTTACAATTTCATCGCCAATCAGAGTTCATCAGCCAAGCGCACTGCGCGGCGCAAGAATCGCGGCGATGCCATCGCCGATTGAAATCGCCTGGTGTGTCCACGACTGCGCGTTGCCATCGGGCGATGCATCGCCCGATGCGATGCCATCGGCGATGGCGTCGGGCGATGCGCATCGCCTGGCGGCGACCGTGTGTCCGGCCTTAACAAGATTTTTTTATGGAGGACAATATAAGAGAAGTGGTGCATGTGTGCGCGATCTGCGCGCGCGTGCGTGCGTGGCGTGCGTGTGTATGCTTTTTTCCCTTTTTTGTGGGTAAAGAAGGGTCCGGACCCCCTCGACCCCACCTCTGCGATCCGCCCCTATGATGATGGTGCATTAGTGATGATGATGATGAGTGATGATGCATTGTAGGTTGCCAGCGAAGGAAATTATTGAGAAAAATGATGATGATTATGATGTAGCATGATTGATGTGATGGTATGATGGTGATGATAAATGGCAGGCGCGTCAAGTTTCCTATTTTTTCCTATTTTCTGGGCAATTCCTATTTTCTCTATTTTCTGGACAAATTCCTATTTTTTCATATTTTTGAGGGCTTTTCATTTTTCTGAATCCAGAATTGTACTGTATCTTTCTCAGAATGCAGGAATTTACATTTCAGTGACCCAATTTTTCAAAAATTTCCTGGGGGAGGACTCCCAGACCCCCACCCCTTACTTAAATTAACGTAATATACTCTTTTACTATCACAGATTTTATTTCAGTAAAGTTGTTTCTCAGTTGGATGTGGTATGTGTATCCAGAGGGGGGTCCAGGCGGTTCCGGCCCCCCCTTTTTTACCCCCAAAAAAGGAAAACACATAAAAGATCATGTTCTGCTTAAAAATTTGGAATTCCACTCTTGCGTTCTAGACATCAAAATTACTGCTCAGATGCTCTCAGATGCACCAATTTTTAAATTTTTCTTGGGCGGAGGCTCCCCCTAAAACCCCCTCTAAGTGGCAACGTGCCTTAGACACGTCCATAAGCTGCCTTCGGCACTTTTTTATTAAAAGTGCCCTTTATTTCTTACTGGACCCCCCCTTTTTCAAAAAGCCAGATCTGCCCATGTATACATGTACATCATACTATTTTGGAGTAGTCTACATGTATGGGTGCTTATGCATGTATAAACTGCTTATCAATATTTAACATGCATTTCTCATTAAAACCTCAAAATATTGTTCGCATTGTGATGTAACTCCAAATATGTATATTAATAAAACCCATTTGTGGTGGATCGGGATGGCAGTAGAGTGTTGGATTGCCATCTAACGCAACAAATATTCCTATTTTCTCACCAAAATTTTCTATTTTCCTCCTATTTTTGCACATCTTAAATTCCTATTCTTTCCTATTTTTTGAGCGATCACTTGTCACTTGACGCCCTGTAATGGTAACTTGCTGCTAATAGCATTCAATAAGCCATCAATAGCATTCCAATAGAAAGACAATTGCTGTTTGCATTTTATAACTTCTCCTTGTTTTCTTAGGTGGTGCTTACATTGGGCCAGCTGACTAAACTGGTCGTCAGTCAAGGTTACACACTTGCGCCAAAGCTTCGAAAACGATACGTAGAGGAAGTTACCGTTTTTGATTCCACATATGAACCTTGGAGAGCATCTAGTAAGCACTTGTGGAGTGTACGTGTGCAATTTTTATCGAAATGTAAGGAAATGTCTGGCCCCCGTACTCTTCTCTCTCTCTGCTCGTCTTGCTTTCCTTCCTACGCACCCTCTCTCCGTCCCCTCAATCTTTTGTCTCCATCTACTCATCCTTTCACCTTCTTTTCCAGTACAAAACTCTGTGTATTTTACCAGTCTCTGTTTGGTGAATTTAAAATTAGAGCAAGCCAGTTTGTACATAAATTATCAGGGCTAATTTGGATAGACACATGTATGTACTAGTATAGAATTCTTCCATATTAAGTTCAGCTTTCGATTTCCAGTGCCAGATCAAGTAATCTCAACAAACGCCTATTCTCTAAAGATGTGTTTTTGCTGACTAGCGTGGATACCCACTGTGAGAAATTACTGGTAAAACGGCTTGGTTATATTGATAAAAAAATAAATAGAATTCCAACATTTTTTCTGCAGATGTAAAGTGTTTAGACGCATGTTCATTAAAGGGAAAATC